CCCAAACCCAGAGAGCAAATGCTCATTTTTTCCTGGAGAAAGCAAGGAAGAGTGATAGCCCTGGAGATCAGGAACCAGCTCCCCCTCCCCAAATTTTCCTGTGACTTTCAGAGGTGGTACTCAACTCTTTTCCCTGAGAAAGCAGGAGGCATCATCGAATCTCCTGGGATGTGGGCTTTGAAGCAGTGGTGCCAGACACCTACTGTCACCACAGGACTGATTTACCTCTGATTTTAGAGGAGAAAATGTGCTCTGGTAATTCGGAAACGATGACATCTTAAATTTGTGTCCCTCTCTCTAACCCCTTCCATAAGCCTTGCTTTGATGTGAAACCCAGCTGGCGTTCCTCCGAGCTTGGGAGGAAGTCTGGAATAAAACCCAAAGAGAAGAGCTGTGCAAATCCCCAGTGCTTCCATAGCTCCCCTGGCTGGGCTTCCCATCCTGCCTCCATGGGCATTTCTTGAAAACAAGGATGTTTTTATGAGGCTATTGGGACATTTATGGGTGAACACTGGTGGCTGACTTTGCTCTGCACAAGGGCTTCCCTCTGGGATGGAGGAAATGCCCCTTCTGATGGGCAATGATAAGTAGCTGAAGAGTGAAGAGCTGGAAGAGAGAACAGAGCAAACAGAGAGGTCCTAGAGGCTCAGTAGTTTCTCCTCAGGTACGTTTTCTTCTATGACCTTGTCCCTCTTAAACCAGGTCCCTTTTTTGTCTTGCAGGGCGTGGACTCTCATGCCCTGTGTCACTCTCCTCTCCTCCTAAAACCTCCTTCTGAAGGATGGCAGCCTCCTCTTTCCGCTACGGCGTGACCATCACCGGGGCCGTGCTGCTGGTGACGGGGACCCTGTGCTTTGCCTGGTGGAGCGACGGGGAGGTGGGCACCTCGGCCAGCAGTGGGGCTCCCCTCCTGCGGCCCCGGGAAGCCGAGGCTGTTCCCAGCTCCTCCTCCAACGCCCTGCTCCGCTCCGTCAGCTTCTTCTGCTGCGGCATTGGCGGCATCCTCCTCCTCTTCGGGCTCCTCTGGTCTGTGAAAGCCAACGCCAGGGTGGTGTCCCGCCTCTACCAGTACCATTTCCCCAGGGACCTGCAGTACTTCACTGCGGAGCCTCTGGAGAAGTGGAACTGCAGGTGAGTGTCTCATCCCCACAGGTGGTGGATGCCTGAGGGTGGGATGGCCTGTCCTGGCATGGCTGCTCGGATGAGTAGGAATGCCAGCCATTGAGAAGGGAGTGGAGGCAGAGTGTCCTCCTACGAAGCCCATTTTGGGGTATGGGAAGACCCCCTTGCACCACCCAAGATGCTGCTGCTGTTTGTTGGGTCCCCAGACTCTCCCTGGGTGAGTCAGATTTATTTCCACTTTTGATCAAAAAGGGGTTTTTTTCCAGAGACTGCTGTGGAAGCCGAGCCAGCTGGCCCTTCCCAGTGTGGTTCTATGGGGTCACAGCAAAGATCTTGGCTCCAGCATAAATCGGGCTCTAGGGAGAAGCAGAATGAAAAGTAACTCTTAAGAACATAAAACCATAAAAATTCAGCTGGGACAGGAGGCATGTTCCTGGTTCTCTGGGGGTTTCAGTGCCCATGTCCGGGGGTGAGATCATAAGCTGGTCTGGGGCGTTCTCCTCCTCCCACCGAGGGCTTTGCTGTATCCTCCATGGGGAATGTCCCCTTCCCTGAGCTCCTGGGTTCTCTGCTGGATTGGGAGGCATTGCCCCAGCATTGTTCACCCTGGCATTTGCACAGCAAAGCCCTCCAAAGCAGAGCCTGCTGCTCCGCAGAGGGCTGGCAACGTGACATCCTGTGCTGGGAGAAACCAGCATTTCCTGTTGCAAACTGAGGCTGTTTGGCAAAAGACACAGCATGGATGCCCAAGGCTGTAGGTCTGGGACAGGGGGGGTTTGGGATGCAGGCATCCCTGCCAAGCATCACAGCTTTCCCTTTGGACCCGCTGTGTCCCCCCTGATGCCTGCAGCCTCCTCAAGTATCTGCAGAAGCAAGTGGAGGGTGGGTTGCCTTCAAAGCTTCCCTGTCCTTGGGGCTGCTCTGTTTCGCAGGGTGCCAAGTGGGGCTGTGCAGAGGGCAAAGGTTGGGTGGACGTTTTCCCTGTACACAAACCATGTTTGCTCAGCAAAGCGCTGCTGCACGTGGCACCAAGCATGGCCAGTGTGAGGAGAGCTTCGGCAGGCACCAGGGTGGGATGAGACTGCGTGCAACCAGGATGCCTGGCTCTCACCTGGCTGCTTGTGTCCAATCATGCTCGACTGCTGGCAGCCTCTGTGCGTTGGGGTGACTCTGGGTTTAGGCAGATGACAAGGATGCTCTCCTGCCCATGGGAACAGCACAGTGCAGAGTGAAGGGGTGGATGTCTTGAGAGGCAGCACCTCTGCTCTGAACAGCAGAGGTGTCAGGTCTTTGAGGCTGCCTCAACAGGCTGCTCCTCCTCTTCTTGGGTGAGGGTTTAATAAAAAACTGGGCAACTTGTTCTTGTCGCAAGGTCTAATGGATGGTGCCCTTTCTTCCACGTGGCTCCTCACTCTCCCGGTGCTGGGAAGCAGCTGACATGGTCTTCTTTTGACCCTAGCCATGCAAAACCTGCCCACGTGCCATCCCCAGCACACATATGTTCGCTGTGCTTAGGGATGCTCCAGTTGATGGGAGCTGGAATGCTCTGGTTGACAGGGCCCAACGCTGGGTTTCTTCTTCTTTCCTTGCAGCACCTGGGACTCCAGTACCATCCCCACCTACGAAGAAGCCCTGACCTGCAGACCTGCCCACGGTGCCCCAGCCTATCCCCGGCCTGTGGGGAGGAAGGAGGAGCTCACGCCACCCCTGTACCACTATCTGGAGGAGGATGAGAGCTGGCAAGTCAGCCGCCGGCGCAGCTCCTCCGACAGCGCCTTGTTCCGCCCCAGCCCATCCTGGCTGGAGAAGCAGCAGCCCCGGGAGCCACAGGCGACACCCCCCCCCAGCTATGAAAAC